GTGTTATTCAATTTCCATGTGTTTGTGGGGGTTTTGCGGTTTCTTGTGCTGTTGATCTCCAATTTTATTGTATTATTGTCTGATAATACACAGGGGGTAACTTCAAGTCTTTTGCATTTACTTAAACCTGTCCTATGAGCTAGCATGTGGTGTATTTTGGGGAATGACCCATGTGCAGCCGAAAAGAATGTATATTTTGATTTTGTGGGGTGGAACACTCTGTAGACATCTATTAAGTCCATTAGTTCAAAAGCTTGGTTCAGTTCTAGAATTTTGTTATTGACTTTTTGTCTAGATGATCTGTCTATTTGTGATAGTGGGGTATTGAGGTCCCCCACTACAGTTATATTGGTGCTTGTTTGGTTTTTCATGTCTATTAATATTTGTTTTGTGTAGTTGGGAGCATTTGTCTTTGGTGCATATTTATTTATGATTGTCATCTCTTCCTCTTGGACTCTTCCCTTCACAAGGGTGTAGTGACCATCTTTGTCTCTCTTAATTAGTTTTGGTTTCAAATCTACTTTTTCTGCAAATAAGATTGCTATCCCTGCTTTTTTCCAGGTTCCTATGACATGGGGAACTGTTTTCCATCCTTTTACTTTCAGTCTATGAATTTCTTTTTGATTTAGGTGTGTTTCTTGTATACAGCATATTGTTGGATTTTACTTCTTAATCCATTCTGCCAGTCTATTTCTTTTGATTGGTGAATTGAGGCCATTAGCATTGATGGTATAATTGATAAATATTGACTCATCCTTGTCATGATGTTTTATTGTTGTTGAATCTTTTATTTTTTGTTTTCCCCCCTTTCCCTTTAGTTTCTTGCCTTGCCTGATGGCTTCATTCTGTTGCACCTTATGGAGTTGTGATCTTCATTGTCTTTTTCTAGGATATTGTTTAGAATTGTTTGGAGTGCTAGTTTGGTATTCCTGAAGTTTCTCAGTTGTTCTTTGTCACGGAAGTATCTAATTTCCCCATCAATTTTGAAAGATAATTTTGCAGTCTAGGTTGGAAGTTATTTTCTTTTAGGGCTTGAAATACTACACTCCAGGCTCTCCATGACTTGAAGGTTTGTGTTGAGAAATCTGCTGTGATTCTGATGGCCTTCCCTTTGTAGGTGATTTCTTTAACTGCTTTGTCGGATTTTGTTCTTCTATTGGATTTCTGGGATCTTGACTAGTATATGTCTAGGTGTAGATTTTTTTGATCATGGCTAGTTGGAGTTCTATATGCCTCACTTATCTGTATGTCCAATTCTCTACCTCTGTCTGGGAAGTTTTCTACTATTACTTCTGTGAACAGTTTTTTTTTAAATGTCATTTGTACTTTCTCCTGCTTTTTCATGGACTCCTATCTGTCTTATGTTTTTCTACTTTGCATCATCTAGCAGCTGCTGGATTGATTTCTTGTGGTCCCTTACTATTTTTAAGAAACCTCTGTTTTCATGGTCACTAATTTGAATCCTGTCTTCTATATCTGATATTCTATCTTCACATTTGCTCAATCTGCTGTGAATATTTTCAATGGAGTTTTTTAATCTCCTGTATATCTGTTTGAATCTGTTTCATGGATTCCATTTCTTTCCTATGTTGGGCATTCATGATTTCCATTTCTTTCTTATGCTGGGCATTCATGGCTTCCAGCATTGTCCTGAGCTCATCTATTTTTTTATCTGTTTCTGTTCTAGAGTCTCTAATCATGTCTTTCATTCTGCTCACCATCTCTGTAATTATGTGTGAAATTATTTGTTTTGTATTTTTCTAGAGCCTCATTCATCTGTTTTGTTACTTCCTGTGCTAGCAGTTCAGGGTGTCCGGGTGGTTGATTAACATATTTTTCCACCTCATTTTCCCCAGAATTTGCTTTTGGTAAGCTGGAAGTCTGTGTTTGTGTCCTGCAAAGGTGTTTTCTCATTTTTAATTCTGTTGTCAGTGCTGTTTTTTGCTTTAATTCCTGGGCTGATACTCCAATATTTCCTATTTTGAATATCTTTATTACTGGTGTTTAGAGCCCCTATGGAGTGACTGCTTCTCAGAGATATCTTCCAGGTATAGCTGGACTTTTTAGGCTTTGAGTCTCTAATGACTCTTAGGCAATCTCATTTTCAGTATACCAAAGAGGATGACTAATTAGATCAATCATGGCACCTTAGCCCAATTGACACAATGAGTATCAACAATAACATCAAACACAGCTTAGAAAATGACAATTTGTGGTAGCAGTTAATCTATCCCCTTTAACCACATGAGGTAGATCAAAATCTAGGGCCAATCCAAAATACCTTTGTAGTAAGTAAATCTTTCAATATGGCAAATTTTCCCTTTGGGGTAAGGATTTAGAAGGGGGTGGAGAGGGAGGGATAGAGAGATAGAGGGAGAGGGAAAGGTTAGAGGTGAGGACACGGGAAGATCCGGCAAATTGTGGAATCTGTTGAAGACAGGAGGAAAAGACAGCAAAAGAACAGAGACAATTACAGAACAAATTGACAACAATAGGGAAGCTAGAAATTGTATTCACCTTCCTATAACAATGACAGTCAAGAGGATATAGAGAGAGAAACAATTCAAAATGGGACAGGAACAGGAACAAAGAAGGAGAGAAATATAGAGCCAGGAGGGAGAGAGAGAGAGAAAAGAAAAGAAAAGAAAAAAAAAATATATATACAAAACAAAAAAAGTTATCCCTCAGGGTATGTCTCTGCTGTCCTGGTAGACAATGTGCAGTAGTGTGCAGATCCAAGTTGATTAGTCTCAGCAAGCCAGCTGTAGTCTACTGAGATTCAGGCTGATTTCTGGCTGCAGGTCCAAGTTGAGGTGGCTGACTTCCTTCAGGATTAAACTCTGCAAGGTTCTACTGCAGGTTCCAGCTGCCCTCCCTCTAAGTGAGTCTGGGTTTCTATGGGAGGTGCTGATCTCACCAACTTACCAACTATGGTGGTCCAATGTGCTTTAATTGAAGAGATTTTCTTCACTTTCCCAGTGGGCTTCAATTTTCATTGAGGAGCCTCAGAGTAGCCCTCTCTGTTGTTCACTTCTGCTCTATCTTCTGGGGCTCATAACTGTGGTCTTTATTTCCCTCCTGACACCTCTGCTGAGCAGTGTGGTCCAGCATGGGCGGCAGCTGCTGGCATCTGCCTAATTTTCTAATTCTTTCTTCCTTTTTTTTTTGAGACAGAGTCTCACTTTGTAGTTCAGGCTGGGCGTGGGCTCACTATGTAGTTCAGGCTGGCCTTGAACTCATGGTGACCCTTCTGCCTCAGACTCCCAAGTGCTGGATCCCATGCCTAGCTCTAATTTCTTTATATATTCTAAATGTTAGTCCTCTGTCTGAAGAATAGCTGAAAAAATTTTTTTTCATTCTGTAGGTTGTCCCTTTACTAGGCTGTTTGCTTTGCTGTGCCAAAGCTTTTCAATTTGCTCTATTTCCTTTTGTTAATTATGTTATTTCTTGTGCAATTGGGGTCCTGTTCAGAAAGTCCTTGCCTATGTCTTCAAGAGTTTTACCACCTAAAGCTTTAATTAATTCTTATTCTCCTTTTCATATATACAAATACCTTCTATCTACCAGATGAAATAAGAAAAAAGAGAGATAGAAAAACAACCACACACACACAAACACAAAACGAGAGCCCTCTCAAATTTATCTTTCTTTATGGCTGAGCAGGTCCTAGTTGCACCACATTCATGATTTGATGAGTGTGCCTTCCCCCCTATATTCACAAATGGAAAACTTTGACTTGGAGCAGCTGGGGGCTGAGTTTCAGTCCTCTGCGGGTGAGTCCAGGAGGTTGGCTGTGTCCACTAGCGCTGGAGCTGGTCCCTCTGTTGTAGCTTGCTCTTTTGTCTGCCATGGAGTGAATGAGCTTGATGGGCACCAAGCCTGTTCTACTTCCTTCTGCAGGTGGCCTCTGCTTGCGGTCCATCCTGCTCCTGTAGGTGTGGCTAGCTGAGGATTTCCCTCTGTCCTAGGATTCCATACCTTCAATTGTGTCAGAGGCGGGTGGGTGCAGTGTGGCTGCTCAAGTTCCCAGCCTTCCTCTGATTTCCAAAGGGCCTTCTTGATCTCAGCCCTTGTGCTTCCACCATAAACCCTGAAGCTGCATTTGTCTGTTCTTTCTGTGTCACTCTGGGTGAGCGCAAAGCACTCTAGCTAGCTATGTTGCTCCTCCCCAGCCCTCCATCTGCCCCAAATTCCTTGCACCTCCCAGATTCACTATCTAGCTTGTGAGCTTGGGCAGTGGGACAGTTCCCATGTACTGCATCTGAGTGGCAGGAGATGGGCAGGATATCCTGCAGGCACAGACCTGTGGGTGTTTGGGGAGAGATGAGATGGACCACCTTGACACCACTAGTGTGCTTTCTCCTCCCCTGAATCACAGTGGCAGCAATGCAGTGGTTGCTACTTTGTTTTATTGCATCTCTGCCTCCACAGTGCCCTTTGTGACCACTAAATCTCAAGTGGCTTCTTGCTGCCACTCCTCCTTCATCTCTGTTGCCCTTATTGTCTTTACCTTTGTGTTACATGTCTGTCTGCTCCACTGTGTGTATGAGAACATATGTCCTCAAAGTACTTATCTCACCATTGCTTCTCCAGTACCTGAGATAGTGCCTCACATTGCAAGAGCCCAATAATTACTTGTGGCATGAATGAATGAATGAATGTGTTGGTCTAAGATGGGCTGCTGAATAAGCAGTGAGAAAACAAGATAAGTAAAAGTGTCTAATACTTTGAAGGCTTACACAAATATTTTATATGTTAGTGTTTTTTCATGATCCTAATTATGTCTCCCATCTTTACCAACATAAACATTCCTCACTGAAAACTATTCTCAACTCTCCCCATCTTTGCTTATTATATCTCAGCATCTTTGCTAATGAGCTAGGGCATACTATGTAGCTGGATATTCTAGTTGTGAAATCTTGGTGATTGCCTTTTTGGTCTCTAAAATAATTAAGATGGATTGAATTATGGTTTTTCCTTTCTTTTCTTTTTGACTGCAGCCTCACCAGATAGCCCCAAACTCAGATCCCTGGAGCTGACCATTGTCATCACTGTGCCTGTCTGCCTCTTGTCCATAGTTGCCATGCTGACAGTGTGGACATGCCAAAGCCGACAGTGCACCTACCGAAGGCCAAAGAGGCACAACATTGAGGAACCACTCTCTGAATGCAACCTGGTAAATGCTGGAAAAACCCTTAAAGATCTGATTTATGATGTAACCGCCTCTGGCTCTGGCTCTGGTATGTGTTCATTGTCCAAATGAGAAAACTCATTTAAAAATAAACAAAAATGTTTGTTAACAAAACGGTGCCTATATATTATGAATTTCATCATTTAAAATGCTTGGTAAGGTACATAGTAAGCTCTGGTATAGAAATTTCATTTAGGATTACATGGAGAGAAAAAAAACTATTATGATCTACAAGTCTTCTCATTTGGCTTTTATAGCTTTTGTGTTCAGGTTCTCAGTTTTATATTCCCACAAAATTTATTTTTATTTTTGAAGCAAGAAATCAGCCCTGCCCCCCCATATAGTTAGTAATGATCACAGGTTTTTTTTGTTATTATTTTATGGGCACAAAAGAGAGTTAATGTATTGAAGACAGTGAGTTCTGGGGGAAAGACATTAAATGTGCAGAGTAGTGCTTGGGAGTGCTCTCATTTATGGTTACAAAGGTCATCAGGATCTATAGGTACCCTTGGGCATGTTTGTGGTTATAACAGGGAGCTGACCTGGAATTGACAGCAAGGCCTGAAAGCACAGTAAGAAGATTTGAGAAAGCAGCTTAGCACTCCTGCACTGGCTTTTGCTGCTTAAGATTATATGATAACTCCCTTCTTCTTTGGTGGATGGTAGAACCCCTGGTAAAGCAATTCAGAAGGCCAGGCTGTATTTTGGCCTAAATGAGCCTCTCTTGCAGTACTAAAAATTTGACAGTGACAGAAATAACAAACTCTCTAAAATGGTAAGCCATTCCCTTCTCTCTTTATATCCAGAAATCCTGCCAACCCTTGGCTTTGCAGAAATATGCTCAAGGGTAAAAGTCCAGAAGAGCCAGTACAGCAGCACCCTGCATACTTTCTTGCTTTGGAAAGATCATTAATATTATTAACCAAACAAATTTTGAGGAACTCTCCTGCCAATGCCTTTAGGAGCTTCCAGCCAGGCAGAGAACAGAAAGAGGCAGGTGACAGAGTGGTGATCACATTACTATGAACATCTGCATTTAAGACAAAGCAGTTTGGATTCATCAAAAGAAAGGATGATGATCATGGAGGCCAGAGAGTCAGGATATTGGACTGCTCATGGGGGCTAGATTACCTTCCTTTGCCTAGCTAACATCTAATACCTAATTAGGTAGTCTGTTTTCAAAAGCGGAAATCTAGAAAGAAAATCTTGAAATTGCAAAGTTTATAAAACTGGAATCCCAATTAAACTATTGGATAGAAGGCTAGCAATCTTTCTTTAAAAGTAATACTTGTTAGGATTCAATACTCTTTCATTCTTTCATTATTATATTTTGCAGTTCACTGTGCCCTAATTTTCTGAGCACTGACAACATTCTAGTGACAGAGAAAACTCTGATTTGTATTTAATTTCCTGAAAACTTTTATACTTAGTTTATAAAGGTCAATAACCATTGATTTAATCCCCACTAAAACATTCTAGTTTATCTGAAGAAGTTAGATAGGAATGTGCATTTTGGAGCTACTCTTTAAACATATTCAGGAAATTGTTTCCCTTTCAAATAAAAATAATACAGATTTAAAAACTAAATATTGCATATGTACTTAGTAAGAAGGTAGTCATGAGGTAGGGTATAAAATTTAAAAATTCACGTTAAAGTTTTTTTAATATTTTGTGTATCTTTAAACCTGAATTTGAATTTATTAATGTCTAGATTCTATAGATTATCCTAAAGATCTTATATAGGAATAAATAAACATGTACAAGTATAAATTATTTCTTTAAAGAGTGATTTAAATATATTTTAGGTATTCTCATGTAGGAGAAACCATGCAATATTTAAGCCTGTGTGTTTGACTTAAACATAGCAAAATAATTTCAAATGGAATGGGGAACAAGAGACAGAGCAGGGAAGGGAGGGAAAGAAAAGAATTGAAGGGGAAAAAACAGAAACCAAGCTTTTGCAAATGCAAAGGGGACAGAGAGTTGGAGGGAGAGGGGAGCTAAGAGAGGGACAGGGGACGAAAAAATTGAAATGTGTTATGTACATGTACCAACTCCCCAAGATAAATGTGCTGCAAACATGTGCTAATAAAAAATGAAAAATAAAATAAATGTGTTTTAGACATTTTTTTTCTTTTTTGCAAAAGCTGATGGCATATGCCTGACAGTGACCACTGGCTAAAATGTAGCTTAAGGTGTCTCTGCCTTTGATACTGAGAGAATGGGTTTATCTCAGTGAAAAGCTCACAGGAGGGGAGGAACCTGGATGCTTCTGCTTCCATACTGCTCTTCATAATTGGTTAGTGACCTTAGATGTGAGGCTGCCTTGTGAGATGTTGAGAAACAAAAATTTTGAAGCTTATCCCTGACCTGGTCAGGGACATGTTTCAAAGAGATATAGTGCCCGTTGAGAGAAAAAACATGTTTTATTCATGTGTCTTTGGGTGTAGATTGTGCCTCAGGGTACATCTATGAGACTTGGTAGCTTGGTTCTTTCTCTCCTGGTAAACAATTCTGATGGATGGTAACAAGAGACAGGCATTGGCTTCTGTGATGCCTTGGTGAAAAGATTAAAATGAAGTCTGTGTATCTTCAATTGAAGTGTCTAGATTTATAACACAAGAACTACTCAGATTCATTTTTGGTGGTTTTGTTGAAAGATACTAAAGCAACGTTTTTTTTTTTTACCATCTGAACTTAAATGCTTTTCTGAGTTTCTTAGCTTTATTGTCTCTCAGTGTCTCTCATCTATACCATTGACCATTTGTTTGAGCAATTGCAATTTGAGAACACTAATTTATCCATTTTCTATCCATTTGTCATTGTGTTGTTGGTAGTGATGTATATTTCAGTGTCTGTGAGTGGATATAGGGGAAGGAGAGTCTGTCATTGAAATTTGGCCTAATAATTGTTATTTTCACTCTTAATAGGTGGTCAAATAGGAAAATTGACCATATCCTACAAAAATAGTCCTTAGTATTTGATGGGAGGTCTTTCTAAAGGGGAGGGTTATAGTCACATCCACTGAAGGGTGAGAGAGCAGAGTTCGAGCAAGAGTGTTTTGGTTCTGGGCTGGTCTCCTGGCAGCACCATAGTCCTGGACAAGGCTTTGATAGCTGTTGGGCCCCAGTTTTCTCATCTTTAAATGATAAGTCTGAACCAGATGATTACTTATTTTTTCTATCTTACATAAATTTTATTTTTCTTTAGAAATGAACTACCTATAGTAATTAAAAAGTTTAAAGAAGTATATACAAGGATAGATGTCAAACATTCCAAATTCAACTAATTTCCTCTCATTGGCTGGAGAAAGGACTCTTAGTCCTTTCAAAAATGGAGAAAGAGTCTTATTATTCACATTGGTAACACTTGAGATTTTGGCTAAGTAAGGAGCTCCGAGAGTCCATGATGTGGTAACATGGTTTTCCAGGGAGTCAGTTTGAACAACACATACTCAGGTGAACCAGATGATTTCAAAAGAACCTCTGATTTAGGGCTTTGTGACTAATCATTGAGACCCCACACGTCGAATTTCTAATCTGTGCCTATTTAGTGACAGTGGGTGGCTCTCATGAAAGGTGAAAACATCTAAATAAAGTGGCTCATATTTGGAGCAGGGGCCAAGGCCCCCAGGAGATGCAGAGCTGTCGCTATTCATGTAAGTACAGTGACAATAACTACACTGACTTTCTAGAATGATTTATCTCAGAGCCTCTTTATTTATAAGACTAATAATACACATTGTGGAGATTATGAAAATATAGAATATTATAAAGAAGAATATCACAATTCACTAGGATTCCACCAAATAGAAATAACTGCCATAGTATTTAGGATATTTCCTCTTCAGTCTCTCTCTGTGCATTTTGAGAAGCTAGATACACTTATTTGTACTTATTTGTATGGATACAATTTTTATGAGGTTTTTTTCATTTAATACTATAGCAAAACTAACTTCCCATATCATTAAGAATACCTCTTTATAAGCAGAATAATTATTATTAGCTCTAAGTAATCCATGGTAAGGTTAATATAATATTAGAGGGCTAACCAATATTAAACATATAATGTCAGAGGATATGCTATGTGCTTAACATGCTTATTAATTCTTATGTTATCCTCACGAGATAGGAAATTTCAATATCCTCTCCTTTTCAGAGAAGGAATTTAAAGTTCAGAGAGGTGAAATAATTTGCTTATGGTTATCAGATGACATAGCTAAAATATACACCTAGGACTTTTTAATTTGTGTTTGTAAGATTCCACAGTTTTTCATCACTTGACACTTTTACTTATTGTTTCTTATAAATAATAAAATATATTCAGTATTTTGACATCTTTTCTACATTTTGAATTAAATCTTTAGCATAGACTCCTAGAGGTAGACTTATTGACTCAAAGACTATAATTGTTATACATAAACTTGGAATATGTTTTATTGATTTTTTTATTCCATAGAAAATATGTTTTTAGGGTAACATCATTACCTGACTCCATCATTTTTGATTTTTTACTTTTAAATTTTAATTTGGTTTGAAAAAACTCAGAAAGAATTCTTTTGCCTTCCCAGTTGTATCAGGAACCATACATTTTATTTTAGATGTTGACAAGATATTTTTTTCCTTTGTATATTTATTAATATGTCTACCAATGATGAAAAATTCAGGGAAATTTACAATTCTTTGAAATCTGATAAATACAGCAGCAGAGTATCTTCAGAAAATTTTCGTAAATAGAATGGAAATTCATGTTCATAACTTAGAATATTTTTCCTTGGCCTGATTTGACAGTGAATTTTGCTATAATGGTGCTTATTTCTTCAAAATTGATAAAATTGTTAAAATGTTTAATTTTTTTTTTTTTTATGTGTGAGGAATGGTCATCATGACAGTTCTTTTCTGACATTTACTTTTAATTCCACCTTTTCTCTGGTTAGGTCTGCCTCTGCTGGTTCAGAGAACAATTGCAAGGACAATTGTACTTCAAGAAATAGTAGGAAAAGGTAGATTTGGTGAGGTGTGGCATGGAAGATGGTGTGGGGAAGACGTGGCTGTAAAAATATTCTCCTCCAGAGATGAAAGATCTTGGTTTCGTGAAGCAGAAATTTATCAGACGGTTATGCTTCGACATGAAAATATCCTTGGTTTCATTGCTGCTGACAACAAAGGTATTTACATCAAATTGGGCTTAATAAGCAAAGCATTGCATCTCTTACCGATGAGAATAAATAATCTCTTTGTTTTAACAAAAACTACATAAAATAATTTCTTTATTGAGGACAGAAAATCCTTATTTTCCACAAATAAATATACATAATCATACAATAAAGCAGGACACATGAATGACATGATGATACAATAGCCAGCCTGATGTTTAAAATGTTTGATAGCTGCTGTGGGTAGGACACAACCAACTAATGCAGAAGCCCCAACTGGAGCCCAGTGCTAGAAATCCCTGCCTTGCTAAATTCATTTACTTAGTTGCTGCTGGGTTGTGGGATGATCTAGAGACATACTAGAAGGCAGGAGCACTCTGTTGTCCCAGGACAAGGGAATGTGATTATGAGTTTTGAGTAGCAGCTACACAACAACTGGGATGCAAATATTTCAGTATTTTAATAGCATGTATAGACATATTAATGAATGCTAGCTGAATAGTCACTTTTGCTAGGACTGGATTTTTTTATCTATGTAACAGGCTTTGTCCTCCAGACTCAAGTTTTCAATGCATGTTATCTGTAGATTACAGTAGAATTATAGTAAGCAAAACAATTTCAGTAACGTTTTCTACCAGTGTTACTTTGAACGTGATTTACATTGTGAAGTTTAACATTAATAAGTGAAAAACCAGTGTTTTTTTTTTTTAGTTCACTTTAACAAAACAAAGCATCAGATTTCTAGTGCTTAAAAATTAGTACTCCTAGAATATTGTATATATGTTTGAGTAATCAAGGACTGGATATAAAGTCTATGGATTTACTATGAGCTCTCTCATTTCCTTTCAAAGCTTTTATTCATTTAAGTGAATGCAAATGAGGAACAAGAGTGAACAAAACTTGATCCCATCATTTTTAAAATTATAACTCTATTCAGTAGTACCCATGAAAAACTTTGCACAGCTATAACCTCATCCAAAATAAGGGATAAAACAAATTATTTGTGGATGTCAGATATCTACCTTTGCCTGTGAAAATTAAAAAACTATGGTTATTTAGATCCATATTAATATGAAAGTATTCATTACTGACTATTCAGCTAAAGAGAGAGGTTCAGTATTGTAAATTTTGGCCATAATTATGCTTGCTGATGATTTGTCATTTCTGATTTGCTAGGGTAAAATAGATTAAAGCCCACATGAGATAAAAAATATAATTTCCAAATTAAAAATTATTCTCAAGCTTCTGAAAAATGAGACATTTTCATTCAGCTATGAAGAACTTTATTTCCCCCCTCCTAATCTTGAGCCAAGCTACATACTGGTTAGATTAATTAGCAATACAGCCAATTTGGTGAATGTAGCTATATGATTCATGTTTCTGGGATAATTCAAAATGATGTTTATTGCATTATAGAATAATATGCAAAAAAGAGATCATCCTTGGTTTTCTCTTCTACCTCTGTCATATTATTTCTTGTCATCACTCTGTGCATAATACCAAATGGCCTCTAATCTCACTTGCATCTCCATGAATTCCTATACTTTTGCAACATTTACAGCTTTACATTTTAGTCAGTTGTCTGACAAAGGCATTAGTGGTAGAGGGCAAAGATACCCACTGATGTGAACAGGAAGAGAGTGTGAGTGAGGGTAGTTGTGTATAGGACCAATTAAAAAAGTGAATTTTATCATGTAGTACCAACCTGTATTCCTAGGAAATTTTATCACTACCTAGGTTTGGAAATTAAATATTTGGACAACAAGCAACTTCTGTACATAAAGCATCTGGCAGCAGAGTCTGTCAAGTGTTCATTATAGATTTCTTTCTTGGAATATCAAAACTAGTCAGGATTCTCCAGGTTATTGTAGGCAACTTTTTTAGATTAATACCTAACAAAACATTATGCAACATTCTATTCTGCTAATTTTAAAAAAATGTTCTGGATTCACTTTTGGATAAATGAAGTAAATTATTCAAAAATACCTACCAATTGTATTTAGCTTTTTATATAAGCCTCTGAGGAAATCATTAACTTCATATTTTGAAAGATAAATAATATTCTTAGAGTGTTAGGACCTTTATGATAACAATAATACTTTGTCTAAATTTGTTGTATTTCTGGTAGTTGTATGTATGATCTTTCTTAAAAGCTTAGAGTAATTTATAATACAACATGCAGCCTGAACGTGTTTCTCAGTAGTGTCTCATATAATGTGTTCATTGCCAGCAGGCATTGATTAGAGGGAATAAGAAAGAAGTTTTCTAGTTGTTAGAATCACAGCCTCACAACTTCTTATTTCTACAGTGCGGTCTAAAATATCAACTTCTTCTGTAATTTTCTGAAAATTTTTTTACTTTACTAAGTCTGTAAGTGCCCCTACTGAAGGAAATAACTTTGCTTTGTTAACAACACAGATTAAATATTGACATTATTAAAAGCTTTTGGCTTCTTTTTCAATATATATTTTCAGTAATAAGGTATGTTTTCCTGTTAGACAATGGAACTTGGACTCAGCTTTGGCTCGTATCTGAGTATCATGAACAAGGCTCCCTATATGACTATCTGAATAGAAACATAGTCACAGCAGCTGGAATGATCAAACTAGCACTTTCAATAGCTAGTGGTCTGGCACACCTGCATATGGAGATTGTTGGTACACAAGGTATGTACTTCAATTTGTTTTTCTTGATGAATGCAAAGATAGCAATTACTCATTTGCATTTCAGTTCTTTACAATGATCAAATATAAAGAAACAATAAAAGTACTTTATAAAGCTGAAGGTTTTATGATACAGCCAGCTTTCACATAGTACTTATCCTTTTGTATATTATTCGTAATATGTTTTTTCCTAGTTGTTCCATCTTTGACATTTAGCCTATATTCTTAGTTCTATAACTAAAAACTGTAACTAAATTCTGTAACTAAAAAATAATTGGGAAGGATAATGTGACCATAAAAAACATTTGCACATTATGTATCTGAAGCCCTATAATACTGTTTTTTAAATTTACTTATTTAATAGAGAATTGACTCTAGAAAATCATAAACAAGGTAGTGGGTCTCAAATTGTAACTCATGATCCATTTATATGTTCAAAAATTGAGAACCCTGAAAGTTTTTTTAAAAATATAGGTAATGTTAATATTTATATTAAAATTAAGAGATTAAAAATAGTTGCTTAAAGTATTAGAAGGTAAAAGTTAACATAGATAACAGCTTTTTAAAGTGTCATTGTTTTCTAATGCAAAAACCTATCTAGTGAAAATAACTTTTATTTTAGATATTTGCAAATCTCTAACTTTGGCTTAATGTCTCGATTTTCATATCTAGTCTTCATTCAATCTGTTCCAACATGTTTTAGTTGAACTGAAGAAAAGGGGCCATTAGATAGATAAATCATTAGAAAATAGTCTCTAGGTTCCCCCAATCTAGGATAGTAAAAATTTGAAACTTGTTTTGTAAGAAAATATTTTCCATGTTCTATGAGTACATAGTCATGGTGATTCATCCACAATTTGTTCAAAAAATATTTATTAGTGCCTATAAATGTCACTTAGTGTTCTAAACATTGGAGGCTGGTGATGAACAAGACAAAATCACTGCCCTCATTCAGCTAACAGTTTGGTTGAAACAGATGGTTAAGCATACACATGAATAAGCCAGATAATATAGATAGTAATATGAGCTCTGAAAACATCAAAATGGGATGCTTTATTGGAGAATGACTTGGAACGCAGAGTGGGTGGTCTAAGTAACATTTGAGTTAAATCTTCAGATTCAGTCTTTGGTAAAGAAAAAGATGAATATGCTTTTTTTAATGCTTCATAGGTAAACCTGCTATTGCTCATCGAGACATAAAATCAAAGAATATCTTAGTGAAAAAATGTGAAACTTGTGCCATAGCAGATTTAGGATTGGCTGTGAAACATGATTCCATTCTGAACACTATAGATATACCTCAGAATCCTAAAGTGGGAACCAAGAGGTAAGATGACTTACTTTGGTAGCGTATTAAGACCTATGATTGACTGAGAAAAACAAAAGTTCATGATATATGCATAGAAAGCTCTGGACCAAATGAAAAAATGCTGGCCCCAAGAAAAGAAGAAGTCTTTTCTGAGTCATTGAGAAATCAGTGGGCATGATGACTGTAAAATAGGAGAGTTGGCATTCTTGGCCAAATAGAAACCATTTGGCTGCAGAGTCCAGTGAAGAAGAATAGTGGAAGAGATAATGATGTATTATTTTTAATGGTCACCAGAGAATGCATTTTTGGATGGATAAAAAACTATTATTGATTTGTGTATCTTAAACCATCCTTGCATCACTGGGTTGAAGCATACTTGATCATGATGTTTGATCTTTTTAATGATTTTTGTTGGATTCTGATTGCTAGTATCTCATTGAGGATTTTTGCATCTGTATTCACTAAAAAGATTGGCCTGTATTTCTCTTTTGGATCTTCTCTGGTTTTGGAACCAAGATAATGCTAGCATCCAGTAATGATTTTGAGAGTACTCCTTCCCTTTTGATTTCATTAAATAGTTTGAGGAGTACTGACATTAGATCTTCTCTGAAGTTCTTGTAGAATTTGACAGTAAATCCATCAGGACCTGGGCTTTTCCTACTTGGTAGATTTTTAATACTGCTTTAATTTCATTTCCTGTTACTGTATTATTTAGGGTTTTTATATCTTCTTGGTTCAGTTTTGGTAATTCATATTTCTAGGAATCTATATATTTCTTCTGAATTTTCTGATTTATTGTCACCGTATCAAATTAAAAAGTGTTTGTGCAGCAAAGGCAATGATCAAAAGAGTGAAGAGACAGTCTACAGAATGGAAGAAAAAGTTACCAGCTATTCCTCAAACAGAGGACTAATATCTAGAATATAAAGAACTTAAAAAAATTAGACTCCTCAAAATAAAAGACCCAATCAAAAATGAGCAAGTGAAATAAATAGACACTTCTCAAAAGAAGTACAAATAGCCGATTAATACATGACAAAATGTTCAAGATCACTGACCATTAGAGAAATGCAAATTAAAACAACACTGGAACTCCACCTTAGTTCAAAAAGAATGGCTATCATAAAAAATTCAAAAAATAACAAATGCTAGTGAGGCTGTGGCAGAAAAAGAAGCACTCTGACATTGTGGGTGGGAGTATAAACTAGTACAACTACTATGGAAATCATTATGTAGATTTCTAAGAAACTAAAACTAGATATTCCATTTAACTTAGCTATTTCCAAAAGAGTTAAAGACATTATATTACAGTGATACATACATACTTATGTTTATAGTAGCACAAATCATGATAGCTAAATTTTGGAAGTGGCTTATATGTCCATCAGCAGATGAATGGGTAAAGAAAATGTGGTACTAACAAACCATTGAGTACTACTCTACATAAAAAAGGATAAGCTTGAGTCATTTGTAGGTAAATTGATACACCCTGAGACCATAATGTTAAGTGAAATAAGTCAAGCACCCAGACTTAAATATCACATGGTTAAATATCACCCAAAATAGAAATAAAGAACTAGTAAAGGATAATAGGAAATAGGGAGGTAGATTTTTTTGAGCTGGGAAGGGGATCAAGAGATGGTGCTAGGGAGGGAAAGGGGATGAAAAAAAAAATTAAGATGTATTATGTACTTGTACCAACTTCCCATGAAGAATGTAATCATTATGTAATGCAAAAATTTACAAACAAAAAATAAAAATTGAAAGAAAAGAAAAGAAAAAAGCACTCAGCAATGTATAGCTCTTCCAAAGCCTTTATACCTCATAAATGGTCTGAAACTCTGCTTGCTACTACATGTTCAGGTTCTAAACAGCAGACAGAGAATAAATATATTGGAATAAACAGGTGAGGAACTCTAACAAATATATTTATGTGCTACTATAGTCTTTCAATATTTAAAGACTAGGCTGAGCTGTCTCAGCCCCTGAGCTCCTGGAAGGCTGTCCGAGGATGTGCTTGCAGTTCCCTCTCAGTTCCTCTACATTGTCCTGCTTTTCCCAGTTCATTACAGAAATGCATACATGCAGAAGAGGAGGCTTCTGGGTCGACATGCCACCACTCTCAGTGCAGAGTAGGAGGCTTCCGGGCTAATGTATGACTGCTCCCAACACAGAGGAGGTGAGCTGCACAGGTACCAGCAGCAGGCCCCACAACCCCTGTTGAAAAGAGTAGACATGTAAACAAGCCTCAAAACCAGACTTCCAGATCACCTACAGCAACCCCAAAGGGAAATGAGATGGAACACTCTGATACTATAACACCTGGACTTGCTGAACTGGCAACAAAAG